TAACACTATATGTTCTATAGTATTTGGGTAGTCCTTGAGTTAGTATTATAGATTGCCCATCACGGTTGTTTCTCGTGACAGTGTTTTGACCATTTTTTTCCTGCAGAAGGTTGCTGAAAACCAGGAATAAATGCAGGTGTTTTATTTTGGCAAAACTGTTATGTGATTGTGGGATGCTGCAAACAACTGTAAATGTGGATTGGTTTCCAAGTGCCCAAATCGTCATCGTGTGATTATGGGGGAGCCTGGCTATTGGAACTTTGAATCTGCTAAGCGAGTAGCCTAGGACAAGGATTACCTATATGTCCTCTGTTTATACAAGGTAAAGGTTTCTCTCGCACACATGTGCTAGTCGTTCCCAGCTCTAGGGGGCAGTGCTATCTCCGTTTCAAAGCTGAAGAGCCAAAGCTGTCCGAAGACGTCTCTGTGGTCATGTGGCTGGCATGACTAAATGCCAAAGGTGTATGGAACGCTATTACCTTCCCACCAAAGGTGGTTCCTATTTTTCTACTTGCATTTTTACATGCTTTCGAACTGCTAGGTTGGTAGAAGCTGGGAGTCACTCCATTATGCAGAGCTAGGGATACAAACTTTTTGATCAATAAGCTCAGCGTCTTAGCCACATAGACATAAATACATAAATGTAGATAAAGTGAATGTCACAGAAAAAGGTATTTTTTTCCGTTCACATATGCAAATCAGATATAAGTCTCAACCGTTAAATAGAATTACCTTTCTTTTCTGTTTTAAACTTACTAAAGAAACTTCATGTTTCACATTATGGATAAAACAGTTTTAACTGGGTATTACAGTTCCAAAAATGGATTCCTAACAAATATTTGCTGGTTTCCTATTTCTAACAAGCCTTGGTAGAATCTCTAGTGCAACTTCACACCACTAGCAAGGCTGATAAAAACTAATTTTCACATCTGCAGATTCCCTAATACTTCATCCAGGCTGAAATCGAGAGAGGTATGGATTGAAGCCTTGCTATATTTGCTATAAATAAACTTTCTGAAAAAGTTTTTTTTTGAAATTTTGAAAGCTATCAAACTGTTTAGTAAACTTGTGTTAAACTAATAAAGATATTCTATCATATAGATTTTGTATTCTCAGATAAAAAGAATCCTATATAACTAAGAAAAAAATCATTTTCAAGAATGTGGCAAACAGGCCTATTGAAACAAATTCTCTTTCTCTTTCTCTCTCTCTCTCTCTCTCTCTCTCACACACACACACACACAGACACAGACACACAGACACAAACACACACACACCCCTTATCCAGCTTAAATTTTTACACTGTCTACAGTTTACTATTGACTCCAATGATCATTGGCTAGTAAGATATAGCTCAACAAAACAGAAGAAAAACAACACTATGAACTAAAAATGAGAATAAAGTAAAAAATAGAATTGTTAAGGCACTAGAGAGAAAAGTAATATGAACCTGTTAGTCTGGTGTAGTGGGATTGATTTGAATTGTACACGTTTTTGCCTCTGGGGAGTCCTTGGTTCTCTCTGGGAATAGTTGTTTTCTTGTTGTTTTATTACCCAAAACCAGTTAGGTTTCATGAGGAGCACTGATGATGTTACCTAATTTGGGTAACGAAACATCTGCAATAAAACAACCAAGCTCAGAGAGCACCAAGGACCACTCATTTTAATCCTGAGCTACGAATATTCTCCTTTATTTTGCCCCTCGCCTTGGATCTCAGATACAAAGATTGTATGTTATTAATATCTTAGCCATGCACCAGCAGTGCATCTAGTTATTTGAAAAAAAAATGCATATGGCCATCTGTATTACCTTAATCAACCCTAGACAGACAATAAACACACACATAATAAAAGTAAAAGGTACAGGGGATCCCCAAACCCAGTCACTGTATCTTGCTAGGATTAAGTTGCAGATAGTCCTCACTATCTATACCAGTGGTAAGTAAGCACTTGTTTAGTTTGGGGGTGAATATATACTAGTGATATTGAACCTCATGCTAGCGGGTGTTCCGACCTAGGCTTCCCCAAACCATAAAGTAGACTCTTTGTCCTGACAAAAAACCCCTTTTATTAAGTTACTGTGAATTACTCTCATTCATATACAGCAAACTCTTTCAAGGGGGAATTTACAGTCACAGACCTTATCTGTCTTGGACAGCTGCCAGGCCGATATCTTTAAAACTTGGCAGGGAGTCACGAACCAATTAAGTGAACTAATTGTCTCCTGCAAACTCTACTCCCCTTTCACTCCTCTTTTATTCCTATGGGAGGGGCCATTCACCATCCACCTGTGGCTTTACTCCTAAGTCAACCCCTGTTCTTTAGCTGTTCCCTTCATCTGGCAGCTCTGCGCATGGGCACACTGGGAACAGCCTCCAGCTGTTCGTTTGCCTCACTGATGTCTGACTCTGAAGGCAGCCGATAACTGTCAGATGGCCAGGCCACATCTCTGCCTCCGACACAGAGCCTCATCAGAACCCTCCCCAGACTCCAGGACTGGCCCATGTTCCTCCCCAACCTCCTCATTGTCCGAATCTGCTGCCAGCTCTGCTGGCCTCTGGCAGACTACAACAGCGGGTGACTTCATCCACCAGTTTCATCCAAATGTTAAATAGAAGAGGAGAGAGAGCCAAACCCTGATGCAGGGGTTGCCTAAGATAGATCTTTTCTCCCCTCCAATACCGATTGGAACTGGGCAAGGAGAAAGGAAGTGAACCACTGGAGAACCATGCTCCCAACTTTCAACCTTACCTGGGGACAGCATTCCTGCACTTATGTCCTACTGCACCATCCATCCTCTGACTTTCCTGCACTCACACTTTGCTGTACCATCTCCCAGTCTTTTTATGTCTTTGTCCTGCCACACCGTCCATTCCCTGGTCTTTCTGTACTCAGGCACCATCCATGCAACCTGTGTTCATGTGCTTCCACACAACTGCACTGGGCCTCCTAGGGCGTCTCTCAGCCTCCCCTCTACATCCCCACAGTACCCCCCCCCATGGGCACCCCTGCAATCCTTATTTGGGACTCTGCCACTTCTTTAAAATCCCACCTATCTTGGGGTTACCATTGCCATTGCTAAGCAATGTGATCATATGACATTGTGCTTTATAATGTCATCGCTTAGTGATAGCAATTCTGGTAGTCTTGGTTACCATTGTAACTCAAGAATGATCTGTAGTAGGGTGGTTTGAGTTTAGATTTAGTATGACAGCAATTAAACTAAGAATATCATTCTATAGTCTTATTGTTTTGCTTGTGAAAGAATATAACCGACTAATGGTAAAAAAGAATCCGTAGGACAGATATTTTTTAAAAGAACTAAGTGGATTGTTATGCTGATAGCAACCATACCATGAAAAATAATTTGCAGCATTTTGCATATGGCAGTGCATTTAAATATTTTTAGAAGCCAGGCTTATTGAATCTGTATTGGTTCACAGTCTTAGTATGAAAACAACATAGCTATTCAAAATGATTTGCTTATTATAATGTCAATAGAATGATGGCAATATGACAATGACAGCATAATAGCATCTATGAAGGACTGTTTCCTCGGGAAGATTCTTTTTCAAATATGAATGCAAACTCTTCACATTAAATCTTAAGATCAGGATCAATTATGAATTTCAGGAGGCATTAATAGGGTTCTATATTTGGCTGTCAATTATTAGTAGCATGTATTGAGGATATTTTCCTTTTACAGAGAGAAAATACATGGGCATTCATAATAAAGAAATCTCTTTACAATCTCATACATTGCTTGCATCTGGGAGTATCACACCTTGGGAACTACCAGGTGCATGACATGCCTCAAATGTTTTCATGCAATTGGGGTTTTGGACATGTTACAAGAAAAGGCATTTGGTTTAAACATTGCTGCCACTGAATCTTCAGAAAGGGCTTGGTTCTCAGCTTATTCATTTACTGCATATAGACACTGAGAATAGAAGATCACTATAGCAATCAAATAGGATGGGTGGAAATGTATATGGTCACCATCCCATCATGATGATTCTGGGCAGCTAACAACACTAGAAAAGCAACAGAAAAAACTCTACAATGCTATATATTAAATTGGTAGCCAAGATCAAATCAAAAACACCACAATGCTTTATATGAAATTGGTAGCCAGGATCAAACCACAAACTCTTTGCAACAGAGCTATCGCAGTGATTCTGCCACATGTTCTGAACCCCATGCCCATAATACAACCACGTGTTTAGAGGGATGATGTCCCAAAGAGCAGGCACTATGACAGAAAAAGCTCACTTCCTGGCTCCTCTAGAATGGCATCGTTTAGAAGATGGGACCCATAGCATGCCTCTTCTGCTGGATCCGATGGGATGGATAGATACAACAGGGGAAAGATACTTCTTCAGGTAACCTGATTCCATTCCATGAAATGTTTTATAAATATAATTGAAACCACCTTGAACTGAACCTGGAAGCCTATTGGCAACTGATCCAGCTCATGAAGAAGAGGCTTAACATGTGCTGAATGTGAAGCACTCATAATTACCTGCTCCCCTAATTTTAAGCTACTGTAATTAAATTGCTAGGAACAGCTGCAATACTCTAAAGCCACAGCTGGCCTAGAGGTGGAGCTCTTGCCTCACAATCAGGAGATTGTGAGTTCAATCCTAGATAAAGGCAGATGTAGGGTTTCCTGCTTGAGCAGGGGATTGGACTAGATGACCTGCAAGATGCCTTCCAACTCTGTTAATCTGTTACTCTGCTCTTCAAGGGTAGACCCATATAAAGCAAATGGCAGTACTGGTACTATAAATGATAATTTAAGAAATGCATATTTATTGAAAAACAAAAGTCATACATTGCTTCACTAGAGAAAGAGCTTACTATCAATCCATTTAACATATATTGGGTTCCAGAAAAAACATACATTTCTTAGTCCCTTCTTTTTATGGCATTATGGATCTAAGCATTTCATGGGTAATCCTGTTAATATATAAAAATAGCAAGTATTTGAACTAAAGTACCTCTGGGCATTGACTCCAGTGACTCCATTCAGATACCACACATTCATTAGGACAATAGAGGATACATTTCTGTTTTTCCAAAGGAACTTTGGACTGATTACAAAGCACAAGAGGTACAGGTTCACCATCTCCCCCTTCAGTGGTGTTTATACATCTGTAGGATGATAAGAACATCATCTGCAAGGCATTCCACAATGAAAAACAAATAAATAATACAGTAAATAAAGTCAACCCTCCGAATCGAGCTCAACATCTGGTGAATTCTTAGACATGTCTTTGCAATTATCTAGACAGCAGAATAAAAATGGGTTTTCACTGGTTTCTTCTGGGACTCCCCCCCCCCCCCATTTTGTGATCTTACCTCTGATAGGCTTTCAATTAAGGTTTTTTTTTACTTTTCAGAAATATTTTATGTTTGTTATATATGTCACATATGATTATTCATTGCAGTGAATAACTAGTAATTATTTAATCAGTTGATTATATCTGAATATTTATGTCATGCTAGTGCTGCTGAGGAGAGCTGAAAGAATATGTAGAGATTGTGTAGAAATACTGCAATTAAGTAAAATGCTGTTCATGAAACCAAAGATATGATTACAGCCCATATGACAGAATTTTCATCCTAAAGATTAACTTTATTTTCATGCAAATATGAAACATGAAACAGACTACTCTAGACACCTTTGCATTGTGATAAAATTAAGACAGTTTTATAAAGATGTTCCAAAGACAACTGTTATATTTTCTTAGCTTGCTTGTTTTTAAATTTATTTTGTGGTAATTTTTTATTGCTTTATTTTTTTTTTGTAGATTTTTTTAATTGTGTTAGAATTTTAGAATTGTAAGCTGCCCAGAGTAATTTGGTTGAACTGGGCAGCTATAGAAATCAAATCAAATCAATCAATCAATCCATGAACCAATAGTCAACTGCTTTTATTTTCCACTTACCTGATTTGCCTCATTTGTATTCCTTCTCCACAGTGGAGGGAATTTTGTGCACTGCTGATTTCACATTGAGACCATGGCTCTACTCGCCAGGAATACTGATTGCACTCACTGTAACAGGGGACTGCCTCGTACACCTTCCACAAAAAACATACAAATGTATACATAATCAGTCACTTGAGTGAAAATTCTCCAGAGGAATACGTTAGCAGAACAACAATAGAAGAAGAATCTTCCCCCAGTTGCTGAGTAGTGTGCTAGATTTTATCCACTGTTCTAAGAAGAGTGTAATGTTTAAATTCATTGATTTCTTATAGACTTAAAAGGGAATGTGATAAACATTCAGCCTCTTAGAATAAAAATAACCATTTCCAACAGTCTAAAGAAGAATTTCATTACAATTTCATTTCCTCTGAAGATCTATGAGCTATTCCCTTTTACAATTACATAACATATTGTACCTTACAAAAAACTCTTTCATACCCACTGTCAAGAAAATAAAACCTTTTCCTTTTTTTGATTGTATCGCATATACAGTTAAAATTGCATTTTAGTATAAAAATGCAACTTTATTTTTTTAAAAAAATATTTGAATTCCACAAAACCATTTTATTTTATTATGATTTTTTTTTAAAAAAATAGATCTCTAAAACAAACAATTGTGCTTCTCAGTCAAGCTCCACTTACAATGCATACAGTAGTTGCAAAAATAATTGGGCAGAAATACAAAGATCAGCACTGCATCAAACTGTTTAGGCAGAACATATTTAAAACAACATTCATCATTTCAAGGTCCCCTCCCTCCCTCCCTTTCTTCCCCAATGTGTGCATTGAGCTGAATGAATTTTAGACTGGCTTTAGACTGGCTCTTATGATGGTCTAAATTTATCTTATGAGAAATTTCTGTCTAAATTTCTGTCATATTTGGGAAAGTCTGACAAATAGTCTGGCCATGCTAGAGAACATTTGGGTAAAATGGGTGGGAAGATGGGACATAGGGTAAAGTTGATGGCATCTCTATACTTTGAAGATCTGGAAGCGCAGGTGTGGCTAGGTCAATTTATAGGGGTGATGAATTTGCAATGTAGATTTTTGATAGGGTATAGCAAAAAGGATAATATTAAGTACAGCAGAAGTTATTGGGCTGTCTGTCTGTCTGTCTGTCTGTCTGTCTGTCTGTCTGTCTGTCTGTCTGTCTGTCTGTCTGTCTGTCTGTCTGTCTGTCTATCTATCTATCTTTCTATCTTTCTATCTATCTATAAGCTAAATACCACTCATGCAGCATCATGAAATCTCCAGCACCGTAAAACCTACAGACTTGAAATTTGGCACCTCTTAGCTTCTAGGTGCTCACTAAGAAAGGCTTTTTTGAAATGACCATCAAATCATTAGTATTTCTTATTATTAACACACACTGATGCTAAGGAGTTAGACGTTCCACTCCCCCCCACCTGAAAAGAACTCTGTTCCAACTCCTACTTGGGTGTGGGCGTGACCAGCATGTGACTCATCTGGCCTGTGGGCTGGCAGTTTAGACATTCTACTGCCCCTC